GGCAGCTCCGCGAGCCGCAGTCGTCGCCGGTGTAGCCGGGGTCGCACACGCAGCGCCCGTCCTCGCAGCGGCCCCTCTGGCTGCAGCCCCGGGGGCAGCTCCTCACCGCACAGTCCTCGCCGGTGTAGCCGTGGTCGCACACGCAGCGTCCGTTCTCGCAGCGTCCCCTCTGGCTGCAACCTCTAGGGCAGCTCCTCTTCCCACAGTCGTCGCCAGTGTAGCCGGGGTCGCACACGCAGCGCCCGTCCTCGCAGCGCCCCCTCTGGCTGCAGCCCCGGGGGCACGAGCGCAGGCTGCAGTCGTCGCCAGAGAAGCCAGCCCGGCACACGCACACGCCCTGCACGCAGCGCCCGCGGCCGTTGCAGTCCCCGGGACAGGAGGGCCAGCCGCAGCTGGGGCCGCTGTAGCCAGGGAAACACACGCAGCGCCCGCGGACACAGCGACCCTGATCGTTGCAGTCATCTGGGCAGGACCCGGAGCCTGAGGGTGGGGAGGATGGGGGCACCCCAGCGCCTGTAGGGTCTGAGCAGGTGGGCCCACCCCAGCCTGGTTCACAGGAGCAGGCACAGCGGCTCAGGTCAAACACGCCATGGAGACTGCAGAGGCTACGAACGTCTGTCTGGCCTGGAGGAAGAGGGAGAGGCAGGCCTCAGTCTCTCTGGGGAGAGAGATGGAGCTCATGCAGTGCTCCCCTGGCCAGGAGGGCCAGGCTCGTTTCATAAGGTCATCTTTGTGTCCAGGTACTCCTAGTCAATATATGTGGCTTCTGGAGGCCCCAGCATATGCTTGGGGACAGGAGAGGGAGGTGCTGACATCAAGCCTGGTCGCTGCTCTCTCCGACTTGTGCCCCGAGCTGCACTCATCACCCCCAAGGGGGAAGATGGGATGCCTTTTTCTAATTCATACCAAGGTCCTTTAGGGACTAGTGATGCCCCACTTGCCCACCTTCCTCTTTTTTTGTGCCCCCTCGCATGATCATCTGCTCACCTGTGCCAGCCTGGGCAGCGGCAGGACAACATGTCCCAGTGCACTGTTCCTTGAGGCCTTTCACCAGCTCCTCCAGGATCTCTAACCGGACCTTCAGGGCCTGCACCTCTGAAGCAGGGACTGGGGGCTCCGTGCCCGGGGGACAACCACAGCCAGATGAAGGGGGCAGGTTGATGCGGTGGGTAAACACCACCTGCTTCTCCCCTCCTTCCACATTGTGCTCATAAAGCCGAGAAGAGGGGCTTCCCCCTATTGGCTCCACTGTGCGGCCTCCTGGCTGGGGAGGGGGGCGTGGGGCTGGGAGTGTCACATTGGACCGTGGAGAGAAAGGGCCTGCTCTGACTGTGCCCAGCAGTACCAGGAAGGCCAGTCTGGAGATTAGGAACCATTGGGCTGGCATCACTCAGGAGGCTGTGAGGAGGGAGGACACATGTGAGCAGTTCTCAGAGAAGGAGAAAAGATGGCTCCCCACCTCCCTCAATATACACATCCACAGTCCCACCACCCACAACCAATCTACCCAACTCACATGCATGTAAAACTCCACATTCAACCCAACCTAAGGGATACCCTCCTTGGGCAGAGGGCATCCTTTTTTTTTTTTTTTTTTTTTTTTTTTTTTTTACAGTTCCATCCACACTGGTCTTTTGTTTGTGCCACAGATACTACAAGCTTACATTAGCCCAAGGACCTTTTAGCTGTACGTTCTCTGCGTCTGGGATGCTCGTCAAGACTGGCTCCTTCTTGCTCAAATCTTAACTCACATGTCTTTGATCCCAGAGACCTTCCCTGCAGCCCAGTAGGAATGTTTTCCATTACTCCCTATCACAGTATCCTGCCTATGTTCTTCATGGCATTTACTGCTGCCTGAATCACCCGTTCGTTTAGGTACTTGCCTGTTATCTTTCTCCCACCACTGAAGTGGGAACTCCATCAGAACAGGGACCTCGTCTGTCCTGGCACTGCTGTATACCTGTGCCTGACACCCAGGGGCTGCCCAACACATTTATGTCGAACAGATCAGCAGATAAGTGTGTGAGGCCAATCCTTCCACAAGCATCTGGCTCTCAGCGTCCACTGTCTTCTTAGGTGAATATTACCCTCTCTCTCCCTTTTATTCAATCCCTCACTCTCCACTAAATCCTTCCCATCAATTTTCATAGGAGCTTGGGGCGCCTGGGTGGCTTAGTTGGTTGGGTGACTTCAGATCGGGTCATGATCTCACAGTTTGTGGGTTCAAGCCCTGCATCGGCCTTTGTTCTGACAGCTCGGAGTCTGGAGCCTGCTTCGGATTCTGTGTCTCCCTCTCTCTCCCTCCACCCCCCCTCACGCTCAGTCTCTCTCTTTCCCTCTCTCTCTGTCTCAAAAATAAATGAATATTTAAAAAAAATTTAACTTTCGGGGCGCCTGGGTGGCGCAGTCGGTTAAGCGTCC